TAAAGTTCAAGTACTGAGCATTTTTGCACAGGAACTTTAAAAAATATTATTACCTGGAAATTTATTGCAAGGGTAGTAATATATGAAAATTAATGGAAGGAAGAAAACAAACCAGCTTCTTAGCTAGTACACAAATGGTCTCTTCCAAAGTTAATTATCGAGTGAAGATTTTTCTCTCTTAAGAACAGAAGAAATATTTCAAAGCTTTTTCAGACAGAAATACTTACATTTCAGCCTCATTATGATTATAAAATGCCATTCCATTGTGCTTGGGGTTTTGCCAGCGGAAGGGTCTTTGGCCGAGAGCATGCTCTCATGAGACTCTCACAGCTCTGCCCGGACAGCCTGTGGTCTTGCCGGGGGTTTAGGGGTCTTGGCCTGGCCAGTAGGCTGTGCTGGGTCAGCTAAAGCAAGAGCTGCCTGCTTCTCTTTATGATCTTGCACTCTGTTTTGTGATCTTCTCTTTACATTCACAGGAGAGAGGTAAAAGACTAAGATATATCGGGAACCAGTTATTATGCAAGGGATCAGGCTTGGTGTTGTATACATTGTTGAGGCTTCTTGACAAGCCTGTGAGATAAGTATTACTGTCTGGTTTTGCAGAGGAGGTAACAGGCTAGGAGCGTTTGATTTGCCCCTGTCCCTGTGTCTTGTAGCAGTTAGGAAGTAGAAAGCCAGGATTCAGACTCCGTTCTGACTCCATAGCCCACCACATCCTGTACTCTGTATGAGATTGTGTTATTTGGGAAGGTTAAGTGTCTATATTAAATATTCATGTCCGTGTGGTGTTACACTTACTACTGTGTGATAGATTTGATCACAACTGAGTCATGTTTTCTTTCAGCTTCAGTAGAAAATCATTCATTCCATTAAGGGCATATATAAAAAAGGACATTCCCTAAAGCAGTCAGGAGTTACAAAAAGAATTCTCTGGAATATCGAAAAATCTAAGATAAGATCGAAACCATATAGTATTTTTAAATCACTGACTCTTCATTTTTTCCCCTATAAAACTAGGGTAGGAAAGAAGACAAAACCATGTAGGAAGTAGCCAGTGTCAGCTTTTATTTAATTTTGTATTATGATCCTTGCATGTAGCCTCTTTTCATTTGCACAAGCTCTTTTGTGTGTATTAGAGGGGAGAGGTGCTTCCTCTGTCATGTCCCATTTTGTGTCCTTGACTCAAGGGGATGAATCACTGTCTCTAGAGGCTGTTGCCTCCAACTCTTTTCTGTGCAATTAAACTATAGAAAAGTGTTAGTGCCTTTTGCTGCATGCCAAGGAGAATTCTCTCTTAATTGGCCTTCTGCTGTAGGGCCACACTTCCAAATATGTCACCTATTAATAATGAGAATAATAATAATTGCCATATATTGGGGAAGGTGTATGCCAAGGATTCTGCTTGATAATTTAGAAGCTTTGTTAGTAATTCTCACCGAACTTAAGAGACAGCATTATTGGGGCGCCTGGGTGGCTCAGTTGGTTGAGTGTCCAACTCTTGGTTTTGGCTCAAGTCACGGTCTCAGGGTCGTGGGATCGAGCCCTGTGTCGGGCTCTGTGCTCAGCAGAGAGTCCACTGGGGATTCTCTCTCTCTCTCCCCTCCCCCCACTTGTGCTTTCTCTCTAAAATAAATAAATAAATCTTTAAAAAAAGAGCATTATTTTCTCCTTTATATGGTTAGGGAAACTGAGGACACCCATTTAGTAAATAGAAGAATGGGGATTCAGACCCAGGTTGTCTGACTCCAAGACTGTTCTTACTCCATTAATTAGTATCCTATACTCTTCACTGCTGTAGAAGCTCAAGTAAAGAATCTTTCCTCGAGTCCCATAGGGACTCTGAAAGGCAAATCTGAAACCAGAGCTTTTGCATTTTATCAATGTAGTTTCATTTTTTGGAAAAATTCCAGTTTTCTATATGCCTTTCAAGTCTACAGATGTCTATTTGTGATGACAGGATTTGTAGTCATATCAGAGAAGTAGTGAAGAAATCTAGAAGAGGAATTCTTTGGGTAATGTTGAGGCCTTTTTCAATGCAAGTGGATTCTGGTATTTCTATCTCTATTTTTTCCATCTATGTTCTATAAATTTATAGCCTTTTATGCCGGCAGATATGTTTCTACAGATTTACTAACGTAAGAGTATACATTATTTACATGTAGTATATTATTCTTATGCTTCAAAAAATATTGTGTAGTGATTTAACTTTCACAGATTACATTCACATTCAGTTGTCATAACAACCTGGGAAGGTTGAGGGGCACTACTGTGACATTTAACGTCTTGCAGACTGAAGCTCTGCTCCCGGGGCTAATAAGTGAAAGAACAGACACATAAACTATGAACAGACAGTTCACAAAAATATATGTAAAAATGGCCCTCGGACATATTTGAAAATGTTCACACTCGTAAGGAAGTGCTCAAAAAGGGATGAAAACTTGTTAAAAGAACATAAGAACCAACCTTAAGCTGCTCCTAGTTGCCAAAACTGGAACATTTTGACTGATAAAATCATAATGGTATTGGGTTTTTAGTCCTTATGATAAAATAAATATCCATGAATCCATACTGATATAAAAAATAAATGGGAAGGAAGGGAAGGCTCTTCCTTACAGAAAGACGGTAATAAGAACTCACTGTTAGATAAATACCATACAATAATTATTGCAAACAAGAGCCATTGGTGGATGCTAAAACTAATATGCAAGATTTTGAAGAGGAACAGAATATTTACATAGGCTTGGGGCTGTAGTAATCAGAATGTTTGACCTGGGGTGGAGGTGGGGGGGCTGCTTCCAAGATGGCCCCATTTCCTCTCCAGACATCTGTGGGAGGGCCCTCCTGACCAGGAAGTTGTCTTCTTCCAGAATGAGTGATCCAAGGCAGAGAGCAAAGAGGAAGCCACGTTGCCTTCTGTGGTTTACTGTCTGAAATCACACACCATTTCTGCCTGTTCTGTTGGTTAGATCTTGTTAAGCCACCACACTGGGGAGGGGCATCTCTAGCCAGTAGCCCGGAAATTATTTTTTCTCCCTGAGAGTTGCCACTTCCCCTTTTGATGCCTCCCAGCACTCCCAGCTTTGGTTCCTCTTTTTGGGTCTTGCTCCTGTGCTAGTTCTGGACAGGAGTATCAGGATCGTTGTGATAGAACAAGCAGTGGGAAGGAGGAGGCTATGTGGACCCTTCCTGCCCTCTCCCACGAGGAACCCTTCTTCACCTCAGTCTTCTGTCACCCCTCCCCACTTTCTGTAACAGATTGTCCAGAACCCACTGTGAACCCATGAGACTTTCTACAAGCCTCCCTAGAGCAGTGATTTTTATCATTTTTCCTGGCTGTCTACATCTATATTATATCGTATTCATGTGTCTATCCTTAAGGTCCTTAATGGGTGAATGGGTTTCCTTTTGAAATGTAAATATATTTAAGAACCTCCTAATTCAGCTATCTGGGCCTCTGTATTTTCCCAAACTGCAGGTCTAGAGGGAGGAGATGTCCTTCAGCCTATTGCCTGTTGGCACAAGCAAAACTGCAGAAGATTTTTCAAAGATTGTGTTCTTGCTTCAGGGAGTCGAGGGTTTAGCAAGGCTGCTGAGGACTCTGTTCTGTGGCAGTGAAGACAAAGAGCCCCACCCAGTGAGCGCTGGGAGTGGAGAGGAAAGCTAGTGGAACATTCTGGGGCACACAGTAGGCAGGAAGGGATGACCTCAACACTTGGAAGTGTCTCTGACTGCTGCCTGTGCTGGCCAGAGATCGCCTTCAGTACCCCATGCTTGTCCCTTCACCGAGTCCTCCTCCAGCCATTGCTCCCCCGTTACCTGCTGCTTCTGGAAAACATTTGGATTCTCTCTCTTTCTGGCACACCTGTTCCTGTTGCAGACCCCTCTTTTTGGACCCCCTTTCTCACCTCTTCCCATTCCTCCTACATACTGTTAAATAACAAAAAGTCAACTGAGTGCATTTGAAGAGCTAATTGGCTTTATTAAGTGATAATGGGGCAGCATCCCACCTAGCAAGTCGAAAGGAGCTCCGGAGCTCCGTCAAGCTGCAGAAAAGGAAAAGTTTTTAAAGGCAGAGAGGGAGCAGTGAAAAGGAAATTATTAGGAAAGAATGCATTGTTTTAGGCAAGGTAGCCCTGCTGAGGGGAACGGATGGGGTCTAGCAGTAAATTTCGTAGTGCTTACCAGGAAATTCCATGTTGACCGGTTAAAGGTTACATTCCTGAGGGAGGTTGAGACTGTAATTAGGTTAAGTATTAAGGCCTGGTTTGGTGACGTGGCCTAGCATAAGTGACTCCATTCTGGGCCTGTGGTTTTCTTTGTAGCAATACCCATTCCAGTCCTTACTCACTGGCCTGCAGGACTTGTCCACCTCATCTTCACCCTTCACTAGAGGACTGGGATTTAGGGTTCCCTTTGCTTCTTCCTCCCCCTACAGCCTTGGGCAGTCTATCCATTCCGACATTGACCTAGCTCCAGAGACTTCAGCCCAGCCAGGGCCTGATCCCTAGCCCTCCCTCACCTCTGCTCCCCTCACTCTATCCTGGGGGAGGTGAGACGCAGTAGGTGATACAGGGGTAGAACTAAGCCGGGCTAGGCTGACTTGCCAACTTTGTTTATATCACCTTTTTTCCATTGGAGAAAAATGAAACTGAATGCAGACCTACAACAACCATTATTTTTAAATTAAAATTGTCTCTAAAAGGTCACAGAATTTTTAGGTGGGAAGGAAATCTAATCATATTCTCTTCCCAGTTATCTCATTTCACAGTTCAAGAAATCAAAGTCCAGGTGGGTTAAGTTATTTTTCTACAGTCACGTTCTCTGATGCAGAATCTAATATTCCAGCTGACATAATTTCACACTCAGAGTTCAGTTAAATCTATAACAATCTGTCTTCCAGAATAGAAATTTTGACTTACTCTAATATGGATTACATTTTACATTTCACATTGTACTGGTACGTATTTCTAGGAATTATAGTACTTTTCTTTCCAATCCAGATTTAGGTCGATCTCGAGAACTACAATACGTGTACGTGGATAACAACATTCACCTGAAAGGCTTGCCATCCTATCTGTACAATAAAGTCATCGGGTGCAGTGGGTAAGGCTGATTTCATGTTTTACGCTATAGCTAAACTCTTTGCCACGTTCATTTCGATTTTATTTTTTGGTCCTGATGTAACTTAGAAATAGGTGAACTACTTTGGGTCATCCTGTTCAATTCTGTCTTTGGCCTTACTTTGCTAAACCAAGTACCTTTAGAAGCTAAGAATATTGGGCAAGTGATTTACAGTATTATAGGTCGAGTTCAGTTAGTACGCAAGTTGTTGATTATTTTCCAGTCAAAAATGAATCCGTGTATACCGATATAAACTCCATAGTATCAGTCACTGAAACTGGAGGAATCAGCATGAACTTAAAAGCTCTCCTTTCTCTTCATTCCACTACGGTGACAATTCTGTAGGAATAGCTTTAGTATCTAGAACTTGACCATTTTGAAATACTTAGAATGCAACATTTGAAATATCCTCTTAATACGAATCATGACTGTAGCAACCAAAACAGATGTTTCAGTTCAAGGGAAATGATAGGCTTTTATTTTCAGAGCAGCAATAAACTTTCCTTCTCAGTCAGGCTTCTAGAAAGGTGGCTTCAGCTTCTCCTTCTATAACGTTGGGACAGAACCACCTTAAAGTGTTTCCCAGGGTGTTGTGAGATTAATAAAAGACAACTCAACTACCAGAGCCTGCTTTTAACTGGCCTGCCTTTCCTCACATAAACAGCCAAAGGATACTTGGGATACATTCAAGGCCACTTAGCCAGCATATTTACTCTGTCCTTGTGATTCCAACACCCTGCATAAGCCGGCTCATACTATATGTAGTTCTGGCAAGAAGAGAGCTGACCGTAAGCTTGTGTGTAGAGGACAGCCACTCCCCTGTTGGCCTGGCTCCAGGGGATGGGCCCTGAGCAGCGATTACTCCAGAGAGGGCATTCCTTGGAGTAGTGGCCTTCCCTTAGGAAAAATTATGCCATTGTTATCTTGGAAGAGCCTTCAATGACGTTTCGAAGTGCCCATATAGGCTGACAAAATGCAACCCCAGAGATGTATTTCAGAACCTTCTTAAAGCAGAGATAATAGAACATGCTGCGGGGTTTTTAGCTCAGTGATTTTTCGACAGCTGATTATGTGACTGCTGTGGTACTCAGTAGTACTCAGGCATTAATCCTAATGAGTTCTTAAAGGATCTGTAATACAGCCTAATTCTTCCAAGTGGTAAGTAGAATACCCCCCATCACCAAGATACACGGAATGATGCAAGCAAGCTCCAAGACTGAAGGCAGTTCTTCCTACATCTAAGCCTTCAGAGACTGCACTGAAGTCTCTACCACAATTAAGGAATAGCTTTTACTTAAGATAAAGAGCCTTCTACTTTGTCGTGTAGATATGGATGTTATCAACTGCCAGAAAGTTCTATACGTGCTGAGTAAAGAGACATTTTTTAATCCTTGACTTGGTATCTGGTAGCAGGAGTAGTGAATTTTATAATTAATTTTCTTTGAGAAAATAAATAGTAGGACAAAATATGCAAATTATTACCTAGTAGTCTAAAATTATTATTATAATTTATTATAACATCTTCCTTTGGAAGTAGTAATAAGAAAATAAATAATTATTCAAAGAACAGTATCAAACATTTGGTTTTGTAATATTAGTCGTTTTTGGAATAGAGGCAACCCCACTTACAAATGAACTGTGATCCAAAAGGCATTTTTATTCTTGTTGGTTTAACTCAGAATGATTTAACTCTTTAGAAGCAATTCTGGTGGTTGTATTCCTGGCCAGCTCATTAAAACATCATTTAACTCATTTTACACCCCCAAAATTATATTTTATGGCAAAACGTACTCTGAATTCTAATAGATGGTGGCTACTGAAGGCTTGGCAACAGAATTAAGGGGCCTCCTTCTTTGATCTCCTTTATCTCTCTTGATGAATATATGCAAAGGGAATCCCCCATTCCAAGTCAAAGTGGGGGCTGCTTTGGGAGAAGGAAGGGCCAGGAGTAGAACAAGTTTCTGAGGTAAACCTAATAATAAAGAGCAAAAGGGTACTTGAGGCCTAGAAAGTGCACTTCTTGATTCTGAACAAGGATCTTGGTTCACTTAGTTCTTTAAGTGAATATTTACTGAGCAACTACTCTGGTCACTATGTTAGACAATGGCCATACAGTGATGAGTAAAGCAAATTCTTAGTACCTGGCCTTGTGGACCATATAATCTAGCCAGGAATCCAAATAAACAAATAATTGATCAAACCTGGTGTCAGTTCTCTTTAAGGAGATAGTTAAGCTGAGAACCTAAGGGTCAACATACTTGGTTCTCCACTGCTCTCACATGTTGCTTCTTAGATGTAGGCCTGGAATATAAGAACCCTCTAGCTTCTTCTCCCTTAGAGCAACAGAGCAAAATAAACACAGCTTTAGGGACTGTGGCAGAATATGAAAAGTCTGCTGTACGTATAATTTCGCATCTTTGAAGGAAAATGCAGAATCAGATAAACTGTAAAGAAGTATAAATATAGCAAATAACAAATGTTGTACAGTTTCAAGAAATCTTAGAAGTCTCACATAATTATCTTTGATATTCATGGAAATAAAGTTAACACCTCCTTATTACATGTTCACTTATTTGTCATATAATTATTGAGCATCAGCTAGCAAGTCAGCACTATGCTGAGAATTGTGGAAAAGACAAAAATAACTTAGATGTTTTTCCTAATATATAAAAATAACTGTTAATACAAAAAATAAATAGCCTAAGAGAGGTAGAATGATAGAAATTTAGAGCATGGGACTATCTTTTATGACCTAGCCTTGAAGTTATACACTGTCATTTCTGTTATACCCTGTTGATTACACAGGTCAACCCTATTCATTATGGGAGGAGACTTCTTAAGGGAGTGAGTACTAGGAGGGGAGGATCATGGGTGCCATCTTGGAGACTGGCTGTCATAGCTTCCTTGCATCCAGTGCTCTTTGCCAGCTTCATAGAGAAGTAGGATTTTTTTTTTGTCTTTGTCTTTCTTACTGTTACTATAGGAGTAAATGTCTTTAGTTCTTCTGTATTTTACCCAGAAAGAGAACTCCTTCCCGTTAGAATTTTAGAGAATGGTAATTGGCACATTTGCTTACTTAGGAGAACTTAATGGTAAAAGTGATCCTATACCAGTTATTTTTTTTAGTTGTCTGATTTTTTGAAGAAAAGAAAACTGAGCCATTGCTCTACTTTTTCTTATGTAAATAAGCAATTACAGCTGGATTTGGTACAAATTGGTTAAATGACTTGATTAAATGGTTTGTTAATATAACCACTTAAGGTAACAGAGTTATTTATATGAGAAATGCATTCTGAGTTCTGAGTTAAACCAGCAGTCTGAAAAAAATAGCCTTGGGGCACCTGGGTGGCTCAGCTGGTTGAGTGTTGGACTCTTGGTTTGGCTGAGGTTATGATCTTGGGCTCGGCACTCAGCGCAGAGTCTGCTTGAGATTCTCTCCTTCTCCCTCTTCCCTCCTCCCCCTCAAATAAATAAAAAAAATCTTTAAAAATAAAATATAAATAAATAGCCTGTACATCATAGTCTCTTTTTTTGTGGGGGCTGCCCCACATCTAATAACAAGCAATATTAGATACCTGAACCGAACCACACCTCGTGGGGCAAACACAAAGCAGTGTGGCTACAGATAAAAATACCGAAGTGTGACTTGAGCTGTCAATCGAGAGACAGAGTTTGCAGTTTGATTCCAAACAAAGTAATTGTTTATTAAAACAAAAATATTAACACTCCTTTTAAGAGGAATGTAACAGATTCTAGCATCTTTACAATATAACTTTCACAGTGTACAGGATGCAACCCAAAATTACAAGACATATGAATAATAAGAAAAATGTGGCCCATGGGGCGCCTGGGTGGCTCAGTTGGTTAAGCGACTGCCTTCAGCTCAGGTCGTGATCCTGGAGTCCCTGGATCGAGTCCCACATCAGGCTCCCTGCTCAGCAGGGAGTCTGCTTCTCCCTCTGACCCTCCCCCCTCTCATGTGCTCTCTCTCTCTCTCTCTCATTCTCACTCTCTCAAATAAATAAATAAAATCTTAAAAAAAAAAAAAGAAAAATGTGGCCCATTCTCAAGGAAAAAGACAATCAGCAGACACTGACCTGAGAGGACCCAAACTGTTGGTATTGACAGATGAGGATTTTAAAACAACTATTCGCAATGAAGTAAAGAAGAGTAAGTTTGCAGTGAATGAAAAGACCAGGAAAAAAAAAAAAAGAAACTGTAGGAAAGAAATAAGTGGGGATTCTAGGGTTGAAATACAGTATCTGAAATAAAAATTCTTCTTGATGGGGTTAACAACCGAATGGGTATAACAGAGGAAAAGTCAGTGAGCTTGGAGGTAGATCAATAGAAATGATTCAGTGTGAAGAACACAGAGAAAAAAGATTGAAAAGAAAAATGAACCCAGCATCAGGGATCTGTCAGACAATATAAAAAAGCCTGATAGCAGTATAATTGGTGTCCCAGAAGGAACAGAATTTTCTTAATTTTTCTTTCCTAAGAGAAATACAGCAAAAATGTTTGAAGAAATAACGTCTGAAAATTTTCCAAATATGAAAGACTTAAGTTTACATTTTCAAGAAGCTTAGCGAACCCTAAGCAATATAAATTACAAAGAAAATGATGCCTAGGCAAAGCTGCCAAAAACCAAAGATAAAAAGAAAATCATGAAAGCAACCAGAGAAAAATGACAAATTATGAACAAAAGACTGTTACCTTCTCATCAGAGACTATGAAGGCCAGAAAACAGTGGAACAACATTTTTAAAGTGCTAAACAAACAAACAAACAAACAAACAAACAAAAATTGTCAACCTAGGAGCCAGCAAAAATACTTTTCAAGAATGAAAGCAAAATAAATGCGTTCTCAGACGGAACATAAGTAAGCCTTAAATGAGGTCCTGCCAAGATGGCAGACTCTTCATCCAGACCAAGGCCATCCTCTGGGTGGCATAGTGTCTTTCCTTCTCCCTGTCCACTTCTCCC